CGCCAATTGGCGGCCAGTATCTCGTACACCGCGCTTCAATCGGGTAGGTTTGGGTCGATCGGAGCCACCACGAAGGGCCGTATCGTGTTGTTTTGGACACCGGAATATTGGTACAGACCCAAGCCCGCCTCCGCCGCTTACAGGTAGTAACGAAAGAGAACGGTTGGAATAGGGATTTAAATCATGGTTCGTTTGTTCGAAACAGGGAGGTGAGGCAACACTTGACCCATTTGAGAAATTTTCGCCAAGAGAAGGAACGGCCGTCCAAACGGAAGTTGTTCGGCAGGCGAAAGAAGTACCAATACGAAGATTCCATCATTGTCCCCGAGGAGAAGTACAGTTTCCTGGAAAGGATCTTCTCCGGGAACGGGTCTTGCAAGAAGAAGAAGAAGTTGGAAAATCAAGAGAACAGTACCAATGATCAGTTGAGACGATTATTGAGAATGGATTTCAGAATAACAATTTGGGATATAAACAGTGACATCCTGGCGATGCAGTTGACCCTGATCGATCGCGATCTCTTCGTCCGTATCCCGACGGAGGAAATCGAGATATTGGTATTTCAAAGGAGTTCGAGGAACGCGCCCAACTTGGCGGCGTGGATAGCGTTCAGTCATCGCATATCTTGCCTGATGGCGAGCGAAATTCTGGCCGTGAAAAAATTACCCATGAGAAGCAGGATCGTCGCGAGGCTAGTGAACGCGGCCAAGAAGTGTTACGTCATGGGAAATTTTCATTCGTGTAGATCGATCTTGGCCGGATTGCAGGCGCCGCCGATTTTCAGACTTCGAAAAACGTGGAATTACTTGCGTACTCATCATGCCAATAGGTATATTTAATATCGTTATACCGTTTTTTCTTACTTATAATTTCCGTTACAAACATATTCGACGAACGAAATCTTTTGATCGATTCAGATACGAGACCATGGAAAGACTTTGCAAGGTTTACAAACATCCGTGCACCCAGATGTATCGACAAGCTTGGGCCAAAGTTGAAACTTGCAATTCGTCCTTTATGCCGTACGTGGGCCACCTTTTGCTCAGACTTTTGGATCTGAATAATTCGAACAATTGTCACGACGCCGTTGTCCACATGCACGATGGAATAAAAAATGCAAACGATCTTTGTAAAAAAATGTCTATAGGTATAATTAAGGACACGACATCGAGTCGTGATCAGAGTAATAATTTGGAACAGAAACAGGAGTGTAGAAAGAATATCTTCGCTTCTATTCTAACGAGAATGAAGAATAAAAAGGACGAAAAGACGATTTACGAGGAGAAGTCGGATGGAACGTGGACGATCAAGGAACAGGATTTAGCGTGGAAATATTTCTTTCGTTGGTACAACGCCGTTTTGAAGAGGAAATTTCGTCACAAGGAAGAGGAGAGATTAAGGGATATGGATCCGAGGATGAAACGAGTTATAGACGTCGTGACTTGGATGGTGGATTGTCAGAGACGGGCTCAAGGATACAATTTTCCAGGCCACTCGTTCACGAAGGAATTTTTGTTGAAGACTCGATACAGGGAGGATCGGGAAAATTTTTTCATCAGCTTGAAATTGGAACCCTCGATGATAACTTGAACAAAAGAATTTAAGGAAACTTGGCAGTTTATTGTCAACAATAAGAGAAAGGAAGACGAATAAGAGAGCGGAATTTTTAACTTATTATTATCACTCGAGTGATAGAATTAGAAACGTGTTAAAAAAAATGTATAAAAATCATTTGATAAATAGTAGTGATTATTAAGTCTTCCTTACGAGTGGCTGAAGTTTTCAATGCAATTTATGTAGTCCTTAAACGGCATGATTAATCATCGTCATCGTCGATCAGGAATAAGTTGTACGCTACAATATAACGGTGGATTAAATAAAAAAAAAAAAAAATAATAATAATAAAAAAAGAAGAAGAAGAAGAAGAAGAAGAAGAAGAATAACGAGAAAATAAAACAAACGTAAAAGAATTGTAGAAATTAAGTAAATTTATATATACTATATATATATATATAGATATATACATTTTTATATACATCGATCATTTGCTGAAACAGTGTATCTACATGTGCTTTGTACTTACATATTTATATATATCGTTTTAATAAAAATTTCAGATCCACTTACAATATATTCGAACATCATTGATTAAAACCATTTTCTAACAATTACAACAAAATAAATATCTTTTTTCATCATGTTTTTTTATTCTGAATATAGATATGAATATGTATGTATATATTCTGAATATAATGCACACAAAATTGTTGCTATACATGTGCACATATTGTTTCTTCGATAAGATTTATTCAGTCGTAAATTTGAAGAAAAAAAAAGAAAAGAAAAAAAAAAAAAAGAAAAGAACGTTTATAACGATCGGAAGAGTATAAATCTCTTTCAAAAACGTAAAATTCTTCCACATCAAATTCTTTTGACTAGACACAACTATCGTATATATATACAATTGTAAAATTGCAGTCGATTCGATTTTAATAACAATCAACAAAAACAAAAAGGGAACGAGAATAATAATCGAGTAAACGAGTACGATCCACAATGTTCTTTTAACACCTAATATCACGACAAAACGCTATTTCTTACTCAATAAATATTACGTATGATAACTTTTTCCAAATACTTTCTCATTGATTTGATAGCATGTATTTAGAATATACGTGTGTTTGTATTTCCGTTCAAGAATTGAACTTTGTGTCGCCTTACGTATCGCCAGTCACACATCGAATCGCATCAAATCATTCCATTTTCAAGTTTACCCAATTCGATAAAAAAAAAAAAAAAAAAAAAACCAAGTTCCCTTTGAACTACGAAAAACGGAATATACATTCGAGGTATGTATATAATAATTATCTAGACATTCCAAACTAAGATAAAATGCGTTTAGAAATGCAATGCATCTAAATGCACAAGACAGCAACGATAGTCATTACAATGATTATCAAGAGTATGAGTTTTTATATAATGAAGTTCGAGATATATAATAAATATAATAAATCTCATAAGAGTATCAAAAACAATTATCTAGAGCAATGGTTCTCTACTATTGATGATACTATTTATGATACATCAAAGGCAGCTAATTAATAATGGACAATTTGGGCAATATACAATTCTGTATAAAGATTTATATCGTCCAAAAATTTATTTTCATGATATTTTGTATATAGTTGTCTCAATAACTACGGAGTAGTTTAAATGAAAAAATACTGACTTTGTTTTTTTTTTTTTTATAATTTTAGTCTCCTATCTTAAATTTATATACCTTGATAAAGTTTTTAAATTGATTTTAGAATTTATGAAACAGTTGAGAACCGCTGTTCTAGGATATATTTATTAGTATCTTTTTTATTTTTATTTGCAAGTGATCTTAATGATTGAAAAAAAGGAATATTTCTCCTTAGAATTGTCCTTTGATAGTCTTTCTAATACTCTTTGTTACAAGGCCCATCGTTAAGAACCGTAAGATTTTCCTTGTTTCAAGGAAAGAAAAATCGAGATGTTGAATCAGTCGTGAAACAAAGTTATTCAGACAGGCGTTACGTAGGGCTTGGCGAGTATCGAATTCCTAGGAAAACTTTTCTCTTCTTCTCTTTCTCTCATTTTTTTTTAATTTTTTTTTTTTTTTTTTTTGTTTTATCAGTCGAAAAAAAATCTATATATAGAATATACATCTGTGTACTATTTCTAGCTAGTAGAATTAAGATCACATGCCGCCAGGTTTCGGAAGATTTGTATCGTAAGCTCTGATCACATCCGTCTGAGTCACCGAGCCTCCTTCCTCTTGAGAGAATGCAAATCCATCTGCATCGCGCAGCATGTGCAACAACAAAGATTGCAACCTATTAATCTCTGTTACCACAACATTAAAGAATCAAAACACATGCAATTTGCAGGAAGAAAGGATTAGTTATAATTTGCTGTAATCGATATTTATTAGAACTAAATTACTTTTTTATAAACTACGTTTTGGAACTACGTTTGAAGATAATGTTCAAAAACAAATAAAGATTAGTAAAAGATTTACAAGTTACAAAGATATTAGTTAGTGTAACTTATAGACTAATAACACAGCGTATATACACTGTTAAGGCGTATGCACGTGCCAATATTGTGAGAAAAATTGCTTATTTTGAAGAATATTTTTCTTTATATTAAATAGGCGGAAGCCGTGAATAAGCGCGTGCCCTTAACAAATACATTTGTTAGTAACAAAGTATTAGTAGAGAAGAAGATACAAACTGATGAGCTTGAGAAGATAAAAAATTCTGTACAAAATAATTGTTATACTTGTTTTTCTTTCTCTTTCTCTCGATTGCAGCTCATCGTTAAATAGATGACATAACTTACGTGATAGTTCCACTTCGACATTAACTCTGGAAGCGGCGTTTGATCGCCTGGTGAAAACACTTTTTACGTTTTTCAGTAGCCGCGCCGTCTCCGTCAATCTGGAAAGCCGTGCATTCAAAATTGTTTTAGAAAGACTCGTTTGATTGGTTGTCCTCATCCTTAGTTCATATTCGATATTTTTTTTTCTCTCAATAATATTCGCTGAACCGTATATTTCGCGTGTAACCTTCTCTTCATTGGCTATCTAATGGTTATTTATCTCTAAAATGATTCATGCGGTGCTATTAATAATATTAACAAATACCGGTGCGATTCTTTTAATTCGTGATGCCTTTGGTTGTTCTAGTATCTATAATCTATTAAAATTTCTAAGCTTGTCATCAAAATTTGGATACAAATCGCGTCCCTCGAAAACGTAATTCTATAAAAAAAATATTTAATACCGAGGATCAATACAATAAAGATGATATTTCAAAGTGTTAAAATATTAATAAAATATGAGAAATATCTTTTACGAGGTCATAGCTTATTTCCATCCAACTTTCGACACAAAAAGAATATTAAAATTGCATTAAAAGACTCGTGATACATGTATTAATAAGATTGGTACGTACTGGGTGCCATCGCAAGCGAAATGTCGAACAATCATGCAATTTGATTAATTAGCAGTGCTTTTGTTTAAATATAGAAAATTACAAAAGCACTACGAGTTTTATACTACTTGGGGTACTTACACCTCGCGAACTCGGCGATGGCATGCACAGGCCTTCACGGGATACCGCGAAAACATACCAGAAAACCGCATTAACGAAGAGAGTTTTTACTTTATATATGACGTGATTTTTTTTTTTCATGATCTGACAACTAGAGAATTAGTTTACTCTCGAAATATTCATCTGTTCGTATTATTATTTATCATTTTACGATTACATTTTATTTCAATGTAAATCTAATCGTAAACTATATTACCAAAATACAAAATGATTAAAATTAGAACAAAGAAAAAAATCCAAGTTCCTCTACGTTCATATGCGCGGTATTTTTAAGGAAATCTTGCTTTTTTGATACTGCTACTTATGCACATAAAATAGTTACTAGCCCATATTGCAAATTATTTAATAAATTAGAAAGAAAATCTCACTTAACATTAATACGAATAAGATGTGAAATTAAATAGTAATGAATTGAATGTTAATAAAAATGAAAATTAATGTCAATGATACAAAAAATGTATGGTTAAATAGAAATATGTTTTATGAATATTTTTATTATTTTTTTTTTTTTTGTTAATATATGATGTTTAAATTTATGAAATAATTCTAATTTTCTAAAAAAACAAAAAATATATCTTATTTGTATAGATATAAATGTATATGTTATATATATTAGACTTTATACTACATATATGTTACATATAAAAGAACAGCATATTCATAATAATCTGTAAATATAATACTCAATATAATAAAAATAAAAAATTAAAGACAGTGGAAATTAAAGAGTGGAAATAGGATAACAGGAAAACTAGGAAAACAGGTAAGAAATAAAAACATCGAAATGCTTACGGATTTCAAAGTGGACAGGAATTTGTAGAAACGTGAATTCGTTAAGGTCATGGAATACGAAATGGTGCAGTTGAGACATGCTCTGCATGGTTAGTGAACCATAAATCCCGTGCCACGAGCGCAATCGGGAAGATTCTGATTTTATTTCGCCTTCGTGGCGACCAGATTGAGGTCCAACACCGAATTAACCATCGCCTCTTCGAATACTTCCTGTTATAATTTTTCTTTTCAATTAAGATGATTTAAAATTTTAATTATAATTATTGTACGATATCTAATATAATAATTCATCATTCGATTTAAGAAAAAAAAAATAGATGCTATCGAAGCAAATTAAATTAATATCTTTTTTAAGAAACTGTATACTGCACTATATGCATGCATCTAAGTGATTAGTTATTTTTGAAAATTTTGTGAGAATTGTTATTCATTTTTATGTATCATAATAATGAATGTTTTTAAAATTCATTAATATTATTTTACTGTGAAGTGATGTTATTAATATATTACATTCAACAAGCCATGCATATTGAACATTATTTAATATAATTTTGTTTTTAATAATCTAATTTTCATGCAATATAAATAAATATCGTTATATGTTTATATATGAATTTATAATTTCTTGCAAAAATATTAATATTTTAAAAATTATCGATATGAATTATTAAAAGTGTTCATCATGAAATTTTGATTTTTAACTAATAAATTTCTATTAAATACAATATAAAAAAATATATATAAAAAAACTTACGAGCTTCTATAGTCGTGACTATTGAATACATCTCCGGGGTCAGATTTCCGAATCTCATTTTCTCTAGCTGCCGCAGTTACGGATTTCCAAACTGTATTTTTGACTCTAAAAAAGATATATTTCGAAATCTATTAATATATCTAGATATAATATGTTAAAATATTTAATGCATGTATACTCACGCCTTAACTGTAATATCCATAAGTAGTACTGCTGATGGTATAAGTACCAAACCCAGCCAGAATACAGGTGAAGAAAACAACATTCTATCGTTGCCTAACATTACTGCACCCACATTTAGAATAGGCCAAAAATTACTGAAATTACATTAATAAATATTATAATTTAATATTTTTTCATGAGGATAAAATAAATATATATTGAAAAAATTACCTATATATTAAAATAAATAAAAACCAAAGCATAATAGAGCCCCACATTGCACAATGAGTGACCCATGTCCAAGAGTTAATTATTAATCCTGCTTTTCCACACACCGTTACTACAACATACTATTAACAATAAATAAATAACAATGTAATTATTTGATAATTGATTTCATTAACAATTAATACATACTGTGTATACAAAATTTCCTAAAACAATATAACCACCATCTCGGCCATTTGCCCATACTATTCCTTCTTTTAGAGCCAATAATGATAACCAATAAAGAAGAGATGAATGTATTAAAGCATTTGCAATCCATATCCAAAATACCTGTGCAAATAATATCAAGATTGTAGTATAAAAATATAATATCAAATACAACTAATAACATGAAGAATATAATACTTTAATATTAAACGATGATTCTCCAGTATTTTTTGTGGCATATAATGCTGGATGACTTAAATGAGTTTCCGCAGAACATACTTTATCAAAAAGTCCCATAGCTAATGGAGGTGCTGCTGTAAATACCTAATGTAAATAATATACATACAGTATGTGAAATGGTTTATATTTTAATGTCAAAATATAAATCTATATATCTTACAACATTGTAAAGACCAATCGACCATCGCTCAAAAAGAATTTGACCACTCCAGCCAGAATAAATAGCAAACCATAATTCAATGACATAAAGACAAATATTTTTGTAAAATGAGTAAAGTATAAGTTTACACATCCTACTATAATTCCATGATCCATGAACAAATAATAAGCGTTTTAGAAAACGAAATTGTGCAATAGAATAATCCGAAGCACAAGCTGCTTGAAGACCTTCAACACCAGAAATACCTAAAAATGATAAAAATTGATAATATATCGCTTTTGTTTGTTAAAAAGTTAATGAATAATAATAATCTTACCAACACCAATATGAGCTTTCTGGATCATTGCTACATCATTTGCACCATCTCCAATCGCAAGTGTTACAGCTTTTTTATTACTTGTAATCAAATCTACCACCTAAAAATTTCTATTAGATTATTATTTTTGTTAAAAAATAATAAAAGAAATTATATAAAAAACTTAAATATATTTGAAATAAAAATCACCTCAGCTTTCTGCATTGGTGAAACTCTACAACAAATAACAACTTTGCAAGATGAACATAAATCTAGAAAATCCATTCTAATATCACAGGATAATGCATATTCTAATGTATTTCCATCTATGATAAGAGCTACATCATTTTGACACTTTAAATCAATTCCAAAATCAAGACAACGCTGTATTATAATTTCTCTTGTTTTCTG